AAAGTGCGCAGTGAAAGAAGGCCTTTTTTGGTTCACGCGCGGGTTCCGCTTTTGGGGCATCATACTTCGGGGGTGCGTAAAGAATGGTACCGCGATGATTTGGAAGAACACGCCACCCGCGATCCACTGCCCAAGCTAAAGCAGCTTTTGGCTGACAACGGCTTTGACGAAAAAGTACTTTCGGCAATAGAAGATGAGGCCACCAAACAGGTGCAAGCCGACTATGAGGAAGCCCTACAGCAGGAAGACCCGAAACCAGAAGATCTTTTTACCCATGACTTTGCGCCCACCGAAATAACCGAAGAACTAGGCGAGCGCGAGCCGGCCGGCAAGGAGAAAACGGTTATGGTGGATGCGGCCCTATTTGCCATTAAGGAAATAATGGAAAAACACCCCGAATCTTTGCTGTACGGGCAAGATGTGGGCGGCCGCCTGGGCGGAGTGTTTCGCGAAGCGGCTACGCTGGCGCAAAAATTTGGTGACGACAGAGTATTCAATACGCCCATTCAGGAAGCCTTTATTATTGGCAGCACCGTAGGCATGAGCGCGGTGGGCTTAAAGCCAATTGTAGAAGTGCAATTTGCCGACTATATCTGGCCGGGCCTCAACCAGCTTTTTACGGAAGTAAGCCGCAGCAACTATCTTTCCAACGGGAAGTGGCCGGTAAGTGTGGTAATACGTGTACCCATTGGGGCGTACGGCAGCGGTGGGCCCTATCACTCTTCCAGCGTAGAAAGCGTTCTGACCAATATTCGGGGAATTAAAATTGCCTACCCCAGCACCGGGGCTGATTTAAAAGGCTTGATGAAAGCAGCGTATTACGATCCCAACCCGGTGGTGATGCTGGAGCACAAAGGATTGTACTGGAGCAAGATAAAAGGCACGGAAGATGCCAAAACGGTTGAGCCCTCTGCTGATTACGTAGTGCCCTTTGGCAAGGCGCGTTTGGCTTATCCCGCGAAAGCGGAGAAAATAGAGTCGGGAGAATCTATGTTGGTGGTTACCTACGGTATGGGCGTGTACTGGGCCAAAGAAGCGGCCAAGAGTTTTGATGGGGCGGTAGAAGTTTTGGACTTGCGCACCCTTTATCCGCTGGACGAGGAAATGATCATGGAAAAAGTAAAGGAGCACGGAAAATGCCTGGTGGTGACCGAAGAGCCGGAGAAAAACACCTTTGCCCAGGCCTTGGCCGGATTGATTCAGAATGAATGCTTCAAATATTTGGATGCTCCGGTAATGGTAATTGGCTCGGAAAATATGCCGGCTATACCCTTAAATAGCACATTGGAAGCCACAATGATTCCCAATGCTGAAAAGGTGCAGAGAAAGCTAGAAATCTTAGCTGGCTATTAATTCCAACCGCTTTTTGAAGGCATAATTAAAGCGCTTGAATACTACCGCGCGGTTGGGTGTCACTTTCTCTCTTTTGGGTGGATTATTTATGTGGTCACATTTTTTTTGAATACCTGAAAACACTGATCGCGTTAACGAAAGATTTATCCTCATTTCCCCTGCTGTTTGGTTGCACCCGAAAGTAAAAAATCACAGCGAATCAACCAAGTGTTGGGGCCTTAAATTCAGTGAGTTGCCGTGAGTGCCAGCGCTGGCGCGGAAAAAGAGCGCACACTTACTAACAATTGTTGGTAAATTACTGGCAATGTTTGTGCGCCCCGCAGCTTGCGGCCCAGGAAAATGGTTTGCCGGCACCTTGAAAACCCATGGAAGTGATCAGGCCTATGCTGGCATCATAAAGCTGGTGCGAGCGGTACTTGGGGTTGCTGTTAATATCAACGTGTACGGTAATTTCGCCCAGGTCTTTTAGCTTTTCAGCCACTTCCACCGCGCGGGTAACTTCGCCCCAGAGGCGTGAATATTGATCGTGCGGTTTGGCAATAACCTCGTTCTTGTAAATCTCATGAACGCCTTTGCCAATATTCCACAGGCAAATGGCGGTGGAGTACTTCACCTTATCACCGCGCACCTTGCTGTCGCAGCCCACAAAAATGCGGCCCTTGGGGTGGCGCTTTAGCCAGGATTTCACAAAGTGGGTGGGATCGGGAATTTCAATGCCGCTGTGGTCGCGGAAGACGGGGTTTTGGGTAAGCTTCATAAGCCAGCAAGTACATTTGGTTTCTTGCCCCCTAAAAGTAAAGGAAAAAATTTAAGTTTTTATCGGAGATTGCTGATTAACGATTTGATAATGTTTATGATGCAGATTTAGCTTTACTAAGTTGCCCGAAAAAGGAAAGGGAGGTCGAGCGACCTCCCTTCTGTTTCAAACTAAATCAAAACAATTAACCAAACCTTAACCTGATGAAATAACTTGCACTTTTGAGAAAGGTTCACGCGTGCAGGAAAAATTTTACAAATATTTTAGTTTTCTTTGGCCGGTTCGGCTGGAAAGCCGCTCAAGCAGCGTGTCCGGACCTTTAGAAATTTCATGGGAAAACGGTAAAAAAGTCTTGAACGGGCCCAATTCCAACTACTCTTTTGGCAGTTTAGAAAAGGTTTTTGAACGCGCATTGAAGCACTTTCATTTCTCGCTCCAACCTTCCGATGATATTCTCATTCTCGGGTATGGTGGCGGCAGCCTGGGCCGGATTTTTAAAAAACGGAAATACTGCTACGCTTCCTGCCGGGCCGTGGAGTTAGATCCGGTGGTGATTGAAATAGTCCACAAGCACTTTCGGGAGCACCTTGGTAAAATTGAATTAATAGAAGATGAGGCCGGGCATTTTCTCAATGGCACCGAGGCGCAATACGATTACATCTTTGTAGATTTATTTGAAGACGATACCGTTCCACCGCAATTTTTAGAGCAGGCTTTTATAAAGCTCCTTCAGCAAAGGCTTAAACCCGGAGGCCGGGTTTACCATAATGTAATGCTCTGTAAAAATCAGGAAGATCAGCTGCTAAACCGTTATCGCGCGCAATTTGAAGCGGTAAACTATATGCGCGCTTTTGAGCGAAATCTGGTGATTGAGGCAAAGTCTAGCTTAAAATCTGGTTACGAAGATTGAAACCCTCTTTTAAATTAAGCGATGTATACCTTTAGTGCTGCGATATCAATTAATTAGCTGCTTCAAATCGAAGTCGGAATGGCGCTTTCGCAGTGAAAAATGCACCTTGAAAGAGCCTAGCCGTGCTCCGTGCCGGAACGGCTCACGGAGATTTTTCCTGCCCGTCCGGTCAGGCGGGTGTTCTTTTTCATCAACCGAGGATGAAGGACGAGCCTCATGAACTCCTTTGATAATTTAAATTCCGTGAATAATGGAAAAAGGAAGGCAGAGAACTAAGCCTCAANNCCTCAATCTTGGCTTCAATAGTATTAAGCAGGCTTTCGAGAATCAAGCGACCATCTTCGTTGCTGAGGTTGGCATCGGCCGCCCGCTCGGGGTGCGGCATCATACCGTACACGTTTTTGCCCTCGTTGCATACGCCAGCAATATTGTGCACCGAACCGTTGAAGTTGGCATCATCGTTTATTTCTCCGGAAGGGCTGCAGTACTGAAAAAGAATCTGGTTATTGTCGGCCAGCTTTTGTACTTCTCGTTCTTCAATATAGTAGCGGCCTTCCCCGTGGGCTACGGGAATCTTGTAGGCACGGTCTTTCTCCAGTTGTGCGGTAATGGCATTTCCGGTAGAGTGGGGCTTGAGCCAGGCGTTTTTGCAAATAAAGCTGTGGCTGGGGTTGTGGAGCAAGGTACCCGGCAAGAGGTGCGTTTCGCAAAGTACCTGAAAGCCGTTGCAAATGCCCAGAACGTAGCCGCCCTGGTTGGCAAATTCAATCACACTCTCCATGATGGGCGAAAAGCGAGCGATGGCGCCCGAGCGCAGGTAGTCGCCATAAGAAAAACCACCGGGAAGCACCACCATTTCTACGTCTTGCAAAGCGGTGTCTTTGTGCCAAAGCTCTACCACCTCATGACCCATAACGTTGCGCAGCGTGTAAATCATGTCTTGATCACAATTGCTGCCCGGAAATATTACCACCCCAATTTTCATAGTACTGATTTTGAAGCGGCAAATTTACGCTTGTTTTTGGAGAGGTGAAAGGATTAAGGAGGATGCACCAAGAAAGCACCCAACTGCGGACTGCGAACCGTTGACCAATCGCTATAGAAACCCTGCTCCAAATCCACCTCCGACCTTCGGCCTCCTTCGCCTGCGGGGGTGGACATTTTGATGCAAGCGTTTGGGCCTGTACGTTGGCCTGTGCCCCTTTGGAGAGCTTGTGCTGAGCATGACGAAGTAGACTGTCTGCCCAAGCAGACTGGGGTGGATTTATCCAAAAAAGTTTTGCTCCAAATCCACATTGCCCCCGGTTACTATCAAGCCCACGCGCTTACCGCGGAATGTGTCGGGGTTTTTAAGTACCACCGCCAGGGCCGTGGCGCAACTTGGCTCCACCACAATTTTAAGGCGCTCCCAAATCAGGCGCATGGCGGCTAAAATTTCCTCTTCGCTGCAAAGCAAAATGTCGGCTACGCGTTCGCGGATGATGGGAAAGGTTAAATCGCCCAGAGTGGTGCGTAGGCCATCGGCAATGGTGTTGGGTTCGTGTTCTGTAACCAAATGCCCGCTTTTTAAAGAGCGGTAGGCATCGTCTGCATGTTCCGGTTCGGCACCGTAAACGGCCAGGCCTGAACTGAAGTAGCGTGCGCTTAAACAGGTGCCGGCCAGCAGCCCACCGCCACCTACGGGCGAGACGATGGCCTGCAAGTCGGGTTGGTCTTCTATCAATTCTTTGGCGCAGGTAGCCTGCCCCATAATGGTGTTTCTAAAATTATAGGGCGGAATAAAAGTGGCCCCGGTGTTGGCCATTACTTTTTGAAGCTCGCTTTCGCGGGACTCGAGTTTTGAGGTGCAAAGGGTAACTTCTGCGCCATAGTCTTTTACCGCGGCAATTTTCACCTTGGGCGAATTATTGGGCATTACCACGTAGGCTTTGATGCCGGCCTGTCGGGCCGCCCAGGCTAAGGCTTGGCCGTGATTTCCGGATGAGTGCGTGGCCACTCCGCGTTTTGCCTCTTCGGCCGAAAGGCTAAGCACCGAATGCATGGCGCCCCGGGCTTTAAAGGAGCCGGTTTTTTGAAAGTTTTCGCATTTGAAATACAGCGAAGCACCGCTTAATTTATTCAGGAAGCTGCTGCTTAAAATGGGTGTGCGATGAATTTTATCGCTTATTTTGAGGTGGGCCTTCGTTATTTCTTGCTGGGAAATTTGTTTCATAAAGGGCGTACTTCAAAAAACAAAAATACCCGGTGAAAACCGGGTATTTTTAATTTAAGCCAGAAAATTAATGTGTAACCATAGGCTCGGTTTCTTTAGCTAAGTCAATAAAGTTTTGAAGCTGCTCCGCATTGGGAACTCTGCGGGTAAGTTTCTTCTCTGCATTAACAGCGCTCATCTTTTCGTGAAGATTGGCAGCGTTCCGGTTCCTGAGCTCCTTAACGGTATCAACACCAGAAGCTTTTAGAAGCTCGGCAAATTCACCGCCAATGCCTTTAATACGCATCATGTCGCCCATATTTACGAAGTCGAGGATTTTTCCCTCCGAAACGCCTGATTCTTCGGCAACTTTTTTACGCCCTGAGCGCGAGTGTGCCTTGTCCAAAAGGCCTTCTACCGTTTTAATTCCTGCTTTTTCCAGCTTTTCTGCTGTAGCCGGACCGATGCTTTCAATTTCTGTGATTTTGTAAGCCATACTAGTTTAGTTTAGTTATTCAATTAATTTATTTTCCTCCTAATACCCCGAGGAGGCCACGGGTAAGTTCTCTGAAAACAGTACGGCCAACCTGGCGCACCATAGTATTCTTGCTCATTTGCGCAAAAAAGCCCTCTTCCTTTTTAACTCTTTTTCGTTTGGTACCACTTGCTTGCATTTGCTCTTTTAGCATTTTGGTGTCCACCTTTTTTTCTTGTGCCTTTTCTATTTTTTTCTTTAAAATTTCTTCGGCACTCTCTCTATTCAAGGTTTTGTTGTACTTGCTGAACAAGCTTGATTTGTTCAATTGCGCTTCAATTTCCGCTGTGCTCAAAATGTCCATTCTGCTCAGGGGCGGTCGCATCAGGGTGTGCACCAGTGGCGTGGGTATGCCCTTTTCGTTTAGCCCCGTTATTAGCGCTTCTCCGAGGCCCAACTGGGTTAAGCTTTGATCAATCTTATAGTAATCGCTCTCCGGAAAATTTTGCGCCAATTGCTTAATTTGTTTGCGATCTTTGGCGGTAAAGGCGCGCAAGGCATGCTGAATTTTCATGCCCAACTGGCCCAGAATGTCTTCGGGTATGTCTGATGGGTTTTGCGTGATGAAATAAACACCCACCCCTTTCGAGCGGATTAATTTGATAATCACTTCCAGTTGATCCAGTAAGGCATCCGAGGCATTTTTGAACAGCAAGTGGGCTTCGTCAATAAAAAAGGCCAGCTCGGGCTTTTCCGCATCTCCTTTTTCGGGAAGCGTGCCATATACTTCCGATAGCAGGCACAACATGAAGGTTGAGAATAGCGCGGGTTTTCCCTGCATATCTGTTAAGCGCAGCACCGAAATTTGCCCTCGTCCGTCTTCATCGGTGGAAAGCAGGTCATTAACATCAAAAGAGGGTTCTCCAAAAAACACATCGGCACCCTGTTGCTCCAATGCTATTACCTTTCGCAGGATGGTATTTATTGAGGATGACGATAAAGTGCCATACTCTTTTTTAATGCTGGCCTTACCCTCATTAATGGAGTAGCTTAAAAAAGACTTCAGGTCTTGAATGTCCAGCAAGGGCAGTTTATGGTCGTCACTAAACTTGAAAAGCACCGCCAATATGCTGCTTTGGGTGGCGTTAAGGTCAAGCATTTTAGAGAGCAGTACCGGCCCAAACTCTGATATGGTGGCTCGCATGGGGGCACCTTCATCATTTTGGAGGCTCATCAGTTCAACCGGGAAGCCCTGTGGCTCGTAGTTGAGCTTGATGGCTTCGTTTCTAAAAACGATATGCTTGTTTGATTGGCCGGGCTTTGCCAGACCGCTCAAATCGCCTTTAATGTCCATCACAATACTCGGGACACCATTCAGGCTCAGCTGCTCGGCAAAAACCTGGAGGCTTTTGGTTTTTCCCGTACCCGTAGCGCCAGCAATTAAACCGTGACGATTTAT